TTGCATTAATTTGTCTTGTGAAATTTCTGATTTAACAAACTTAAGTTCATTTCTTGCATTAGTAACAAGGTATAAGTGAATTTGCGCCATACTTTCTAAACGTGATATATTAATCCTAAACATAAAAATAATAAATATTAAGACTAAAATTATAAATTAAACATAATTTAGAAAATTTTATTACTTTGTACGACGTTTTCCCATATACCAGTTTAGAATAGAGAAAACACATTCACAAACTGCATTATGAGGTGTAATTGCATTTAATCGTAGAGCTAAAGTACGAATATGATCTTTATTTTTTTGCAATTCACAGGAATTCCACCAGTTACGAACATTATCAACTGATTCAATAAATTTATCCTTAAATGGAGGTTCCCAGTTTTTGTATAATCCCATTTGTGTTCTCAAAATTTCAGTGCTAGTTACTCCACCACCAAACTGCTTCCAAAGAGTTAATGCTGTTTTGACTGTTCATCTGTATATTTCAAATTAAAAAAGATCTGCTAATTATATAGATTAATTGATAAAAGTAAATTATTATATTGATAAATTGATAAAAAACAAATTATTATATTGATAAATTAAAAAAAAATAAATTATTATATTGATAAATTGATAAAAAGTGAATTATTAAATAATTAAGTTTTTTTAATTAAATTTTACTTACCACGATATTTGAAGTGCAGAAAAAATGCTAATATTTATATTTCTGTATCAAACTGCTTCCAGCATTTATTAAAAATTTTAAAACATTGTTCTCTTAGTAAAAAATCAAATTGTGGAATTTCTTTAATTGCAGCAGCAAGCTTAATTAGCTCTACAAAAATATCCGCCATTGAAGTAGATGTAAATTCAACATTTTTTACAGAACATTTTGCTGGGCTTAATATATTACGCAATTGTTTAATATCAATCCAAAACTGCCGGCTACATAATAAAGCTCGAACTTCATTTGCTGAATTAAAAATACTTGATTCTTTATCTAAAATCTAAAAAATAAATTAGATTATTTTTTAATCTAGTTTATTTAATTATAACTGCTTACCAATTTCATACTATTTTCTAAACATAGCATTGAATCACATGCATCCCAAGCTGTTGACCATTTTGTTTTGGTCATTGGTTTAAGATTTCCTCCAACTATGAATATTTCAATTATATCTTTCCGTAAAGCTGCACCTGCTTGATAATTATTCTTAAAAAATGAAATAACCTTTTGTATATTGTTTAAGACTTTTTTAGCCCAATTGATTTTAACAATGTCACTAGCAATTAATTGTATATGGTGTGCAATACACCTAATTGCTAAAATATTTGTAAATCTAGAGTAACATGACGTTTTGCTGCTATAATCGCTACCTCAGCATCAGATACTATTGTGGTAAATTTTTGTAGGCCAATCTGATTTAAAACTTTGATAATTTTTTCTGCATTAAATCGCTAGTATGTGAGTATGATGAGTAATCCTCAATTGAATAAACATATTGTCGTTTATCAGAAAACATAATAATAAAAGTGTATAAGCTTTGTTTAAGTGGTAATGCCCAACTATCAACACCTACAAATATAATTCATTAATATTTAAATATACTGACAAAATTAAAAAGCTTGTAATTAATTATAATAAGCTTACATAATGTAAGATTCGTAGCATCTTTCAAAATCTTATCAAGTTTTAAAGTAATATTTGCAATTTCTGAATCTAATATAGGTCTAGATAATGTTGTCCTTCGTGGTGGATTATATCCATAACAAAGAATTTTAGTAAAATCAGCAAGATATGGTGAATCAGCCACTATAAATGGTATGCCTGAATACACAAACTAACAAAGAAGTGCTTGATTGGCTTGCTTTGCTCTAACCTCATCAATCTTATCAAAATTAAAACATGCAGTTAATGGTCTTGTATAATTTAATTTTAATTTTTTTTTGGATACATATTTGAAATATCTGTTGATTTTTCCTGATTATTTTCATCACTTATTGCACGCAGGTACTTAATTTGAATATTAT